TCATTCAAGGGCTCGTACAATCTTGCATGGAATCTCTGAAAAATTTAATCTTTGTTTGAATTTATTTAGGAATTTCAAGATAGATCAATAAAAATAACGAAGTCGACCGAACGACTAGTGTCATCGGGGCACTTCGCCGGTGAACAGGCGACAGAACAAGCTTACGCGATCCTCGGCGCCGCGGCTGATTATGTCAACGATTTGGATCAGTACGAGTCATCGTTGAATAGAGCAGTGGCCTTCTTCAATTCCGCGAGATCGGTGAGCATTGACCTCGTCCGCGTGCTCGGGAGAACACGTTGTTTACAACTCTTGATTTCATATCAGGAAATAGTATTATTTTCAAGAATTCCATCATTTTTTATTGATCAATAATTTTTGAATCATAGGCAATTACGAAGTTGGATCAACTGGAAATTCAACTGGTGACAACGGAGCATCCTCCATATTCTACTCAATTAGCTCGTTTCCATGCTCAGACCGTAGCTACTATCGAAGACGTCACCGCGAAGCCTTTGGCGGAAGGATACGCCCTTTTGGACATCACAGGAAGGGGAGCGCCCGGAGCCGAGGTCAATTTTTACATGTTAACTTTTGACTCCCTTTAGCGATAAGTTTTAAGAATCTAGGGTAGTCACGTGGCTTTTCTTACATCTTTTTGGTATATTTTTGACGTTTCTTGTGACATTCACTTTATTACTCATAGAACGTTTACCTTTAATTTAATTCTACCTTTAATTTAATTCTATCTTTAATTAATAATTCCATAATTTGATCATTTGAATAATTCTATAATCCCATCTTCTTAATTAGGGTGTGAAACGAGTGGTGGAGGAGTTGGAAAATCGGAAGATCCGGTTGCTGGAGCGATGCACGGCTCACGAGGAGGAGAACCTGGAGATAACGCGGGTCATAAACAGGTTCCTGGACGAGCACGACGAGCTGAGGAAGTGGCTGATGAGTATACCCGAAGCGTTCCTTCAAGGCCACCAAGACATGGGCAGCGACGCGCCGATGGCTGAGGACTTCTGTCGACTGCATCGACAATTACTTAACGACCTCGAACGAAGAAGGGAGGAAGTGGAGAGTCTCGAGTACGAGATCCTCCCGATCAGAGAACGAATCGAAGACACCCAAAGGCTAGAACTGGAATCGAAGGTTGACGAACTGAAAAATTCCTGGGTGAAGACAAAAAATTTAGTGGCCAAGAGAATTGAATTGGGCTCGCTTTACTTGCAATTCCACCTTGTCGTGGAGGAATTGACTAAAGAGATCGATTCGATTGAAAACGATTTGAAGAAACATTCTGACGTATTGGATGAGAATAAGGTGGAGGAGCTTGGAAAACGCTGGAAAGATCTCCAGCCGCTTTATGTGAAGCTCACTGCCACTGGAAAAGCGTTCTTGGATACTGCTGTAAAGGTATTCACTTCTAAATTTAAACGAATTTTTTCTTTACTAAAGATTTACATTTTTTTCAACATTTTGCTATTGAACATTATAATTTAATATGTAGTAGCTTTTTCAATAGCCTTGCAGAATTTCCAAAATTTGTGTCTTTTATTAATGTCGTTTCTATTAATTATTAAAATTTCAATGCTTTATCATTGCTTTTATTTGAAGGCTCATACAACCTTAAATATACTTTATGTTATTTATTTTTGTTATAAATAAGTATACTAAGAATAGTGATATGTTCTTTAGATCGACGATCCCTATTTGGATGTACCCAGGGCCTGCATATGTGTCCAAACGCTTTTGGAAAAGTTTGCTAACAGACAGCTGACGGTGACAGAGTCGTGGGAGAATTGGCGAACGACACTCGAAATTTTAAGAGAGAGGAGAATCGACCATGAGAAAAAAATTGAAGAGAGCACCAGAACGATAGAATGGGTCTCTAAATTCAGTGAACAACTCTATCCAGTGATCACGTCTAGATCGAACGAAACGACGAGCATTCTGCAAGATTTATCGAGTTCGAAAAATCGAATACTCCCTGAATTGAACAAAGCCGTGAACGAACTCGATTCAAGAATCAAAGGGATCAATACTCTTGCTCAAAAAGGCGAGGTGCAAATTGATGAACTGATCCTGAGAAGACTTCATGAGATGCACGAAAATCTTCGTACGACTGCCAGGGACTACGAGACTCTTCTCGAATCGCTGATATCCATCTTCCAGAACATCGAAGAGGTCGAGTACAAGATTGATCAGTTGAAGAGCCAAGCGGAACGCGTGACGACTCTGCAGAAATTGTTCGAAGTCGAAAATGCTTTCCGGGAATTGGACGCCATGAAATGGTCCGTTTCCGACAGATTGAGTCAAATCGATTTGAAAACGCAGGACACCATCGTTAGGATCAAGCAACAGGAACCACCAGAAGCTGGTGCTCAGGACATCGAGAAATTGAAGCGTGCTCTAGACTCGTTGAAGACCAACTTTGAAGTGTATTGGTCGCAGATTACTACTAAAGTCGAAGAGTATCGGCGGACTTGCACCTACGCTGAAGATTTAGAGAGAATCGACAGCGACTTGCGTGATTTGAATGAACATTTGAAGAACGTGGATACGAAGATCGGCGAAAATTTGCAGACAGCCAAGGCGACCAGCGCATCGTTCTTGCAATTCGAAAAAACTGTTCAGGTACGATTTCCCTATTATAAAAAAGTACAATTAATTTGATGAAATACATTTTTTTTGATAATATGTAGTAAAAAAATAGTAATTTTCTTTAATTTTTTACGCTTGACGTAGGAAAAGTAGAATCGGTAAGCAATGGAATAGAAGAGAATAACTTTAAAACAATTTTAATAAAAATCTAATCAAATTCGTTAGGTTTAAATGATTAATTAAATTAAAATCTTCTTCAACAGATTTTGGAAGAGAGGATAGAGACTTTCCTGAAAATGACTGAAGAATCGATCAGCATTTTGACTCCCCAAATTGTGAACGACATATCATCATTGAGAGAACGATGGAGGAACTTGAAGAGGAGAATTGAAGAGACGAAGAAACGAACGACTTTGAGCATAGAATATTTTACACTTCTGGAGGAAGCCAGGGAATGGAATAGAGAGGGTAGCAAATTGTTGGTAGTGATAGCAAGAAAAGCGACGACGGTGAAGGCACCAACCGACGCGACGGAATTGCTGCGCGAAATTGAGAATTATTTGAAGCCGGGCGAGGAAATACAGGAGAGGAAGATCGAGAAGCTAAAGGAATTATCAACTATTGTGTTTGGTAAGTATCCGAAGTTTAAATTCACTCTGCATTTTACGGGCGCTCTGATTGGTCGCGGTTTTTCGTTAATAACTCGAGAACCACGTCTCGAACAACTTTTTGCAAAGGAAAAAGTTGTTTAAAATCACATTAGTTTCTCCCCATTTGAAGGCCTAATACTAGTGCTCGGACACCCTGTATATTTTATAAGAACTTCGATCATTGTATTGTTAATTAAGTGTGTTCACTATAATTTTCAAATTAAAATATTCTTAGCCTTGCATTATATTATTCATTTAATATCAGGCACGGAAAGATTACCGCAGTTCAACGAAGTGATAGTCGAAAATCGTCAAATGCTGGACTCATTCGCCGTCGTTTCGTCCGAGCTCCGAACGCTTGCCCAAAACTTGAAAAACGCCGAGGATTTGCAAGAGAAATTGCGAATCGAGAAACAGGAAGCGGACATGAAATTGCAAGCGGCGAGATTGGAAATGGCTGCAGCGGAAGCGGCCAGGAAGGAAGCGGAGAATGCGAAGAAAGTGGCGGAAAAATTAGCTGCTGAGACCTTGGAAAAGGCAGCATTGGAAGCGAGAAGATTAAAAGAGGAGAGTGAAGCGCAGAAGATCTCTGTTCCCCCATCGTTCTCCGTGTCTGCGCAAACGGAGAAGATCGAAAGCACTGATGTTTCGTCTGAGACAGTTGTTCAGGAAACAGTCACCTCCGCTATTACTACGAAAGAAATACACATATTGCAGAAGGTATGAACCATTTCTTATTAGATTCCATTTATTAATTCATTATCCTGCACGTATTAAATTAGAAATATTTTTTTAAATGTATAAAAAATTCAAAAGGAATTTGCAATTAAAGAATTCATTTCTTTATATTTTCATAAATAGACTGCGGATTTTTATGCAAAATAAAACCTTATCAGTTTAAAAAATGTATTTTACGTAACTTTTCTCATTTAAATATTGCAATACGTTTTTTAGTATTCTGTACACTTTTATACATTACAGGCATTGTTTACATCTTCGGCATATTCAGTATTCTTATAATTGCATAAAATCCATTGTCTGTGCATAAGAGTACAAGTAAAGAAATAAAATGCGTTCTCAATTTCTTACGTGATAGACGAGATATACGTGTCACGTAATTGAGACGAATCGCGTTACGTTTTTCGTTCAGGATGAAGTAACCACAATAATAATCTAAAAATATCACACTCCCAGAGAATCTATATTTTAATTCGTATGATCACTGACATACTGGTAATTGAATTTCAGACTGAGATCGAGGAAACGGTTCCAGTACGCGAGACTATTCCGCCTAAGACAATAGTGACGGAAGAAATTCGTGAAGAGTTTGGAAAAATGAAGGAAGACATTTCAACGCTGGCACCGGAGTTCACTGTTCCTTTGAACGACGCTACTGTGCAAGAAGGAGAGAAGTTCAGTTTCCAGTGCCACTTGGTTGGCCAGCCCGCGCCGGAAATCGTTTGGTACAAGGATGGTATATCGATCTTGAACAATCCTGATTACTTGACCACTTACATTGAAGGCGCTTGTACTCTCACCATCGAGGAAACTTTTACCGAAGACTCCGCGAGGTACACTTGTAGAGCTTTCAACATCGCAGGATCCGCAGAAACCTCTGCCACGTTAACAGTGAAGGGTACTTATCAAATCAATCAGATAATAATTTTTAATAAAAGAAATTCAGAAGTGACAATATTTTACAAGTACAAATTCAAGATAAACATTTGCCATTAAAAATGTTAAGTCAAACGTAAAGTAGATAATACAATTTATTTCTTAATTCAATACGTTTTAACGTAAATTAGAAACAGCACCGGAGGAACAACCGAGTCCACCAGTTTTCGTCAAGGAATTGGTGGCGTCAGTTGCAACCGAAGGATCCTTGCATCGGATGGAATGCATCGTTGAAGGCAATCCTCTACCAACTGTTCAATGGTTCAAAAACGACGTGAACATCGATAATTCTCCTGACTATGTTATTACTTACAATAACGGTGAGGCTGTTTTGAAATTCGAAGAAGTATTCCCTGTAGACAAGGCTATTTACACCTGCAAAGCTACAAATCGATTGGGCCAGGCTACTACCTCCGCTTCTCTTGACGTTCAACGTAAGAAAACACAATCTTTAGAAAATTAGTAACGAATTAAATATCCCGGATGACACATTTTATTGTAACAAATCTTTGCCATGATTATTGTATTTAAAAGTTTTTTTGTTAGATCCAATAAAATGTTTCATGGCAAATTAAAATGTGTCACCTTGCATAATATGCATTTTTTAAATATATTTTCAGCTGCAGAACTTAGTTCAGAAAAACCGTATTTCGTCACGCCTCTATCAAACGCTATGGGAAGAGCAGGTCAAAGGGTGAAACTGGAGTGCGAGGCTAAAGGGAATCCGATGCCCACGCTGACTTGGTTTCACGATGGGAAACCAGTCGAGGAGACCATGAACGTGAAGGTGAAACGATTTCTTCTTTCAATAAGCCATTTTTACTTATAAAATAATTTTTGGTACTTAAGAATGGTTCCAAATTACTTAGGCATGAGTTCAATAGAAATTCAATATGTATCATTGCAAATATATGAAACCAGTTCTAAATAATACTTTTCTTGATTTGCATTAGGGATTATCAGTCTATAAATTATAATAAAGTACTTTAAATGAGACAAGAAGATTGACAATAATAAATCGAATGCAGGAAGACAATTTTCATCGCGATTTCTCGTTTCCTCGTTTCCTCTCGCTCGCACGACCTCGGAGACAGGTTCAACGATATTTTTAGCCGTGCACGCGCCGAATTCGAAATAAAGCAACGCGAAAAGGATGAATCGGAACCGAATTCGCTCAGGGTGTCGCTCGCCGTTTCAGATACAAACGGACGGGGGACGCGGTAGTTTGATCATCTCGGAGGCGTTCCCGAAGGATGCCGGATGTTACACGGTCGTCGCCAAGAACGAGCTCGACGAAGCCAGCGTTTCCTGCAACGTTTCGGTGAAGGGTCGACTGCCTCACGAGACCAGCGACTCCGAACTCGCGTGCAGCGACATGGAGCCCGTCGTCCCCAAAATTCAAATGCCTCTGAAGGACCTCAAGGTTCAGGAGGGACGATCCGTTCGACTTGACTGTATCATCGTCGGTCAACCTGAACCGGAAGTGAGTGTCTGCTGTATAATTTTCTGATAGAATTCTTCCGATTTGTCAAGACAAAATATTAGGTCGGTGCAGAAGTTCTTGCCTGACTTGAAACGAAATTTACTTTTTATAATAATAATAATAAATTTTTTTATAATATCGTATATATAACTATTGATGCAGGTGATTTGGTACCACGATGATCAACCAGTAAAGGAATCGGCCGACTTCCAGCTGCTCTTCCAGGGTGACAAGTGTTCCTTAGTCATTTACGAGGCTTTCTTGGACGACGCTGGTGTGTACAAAGTAGTTGCCATTAACTCTGGCGGTGAAGCGTCTAGTCAGTGCACGTTAACAGTGACACGTACGTAGGAATATTTCTTTTAAAAATGTAAATAGAATTTTAATAGTCTACGTCTAATCACCACTGAATTGTTAATTCAGCGGTTACAGTTACGGAAAAGTTGGACAAAGTCGGGGACCTGCTCACCACCGGTTCACCACCGAAATTTGTGAAACTGCCAACCGATTTTTTGGTAGCAGAGGGCGAAACCGCGACTTTCGAATGCGCGGTTACGGGAGAACCAGTGCCGGAGTTGAAGTGGTTCTCTGACAGCATTGAAATCGTTGAAAACGAACGAATCCTGGTGAGTTTGTTAAAATTAAGATTATAAATCTAAAGTAAAACCAATGCAAGTTGATTCGCTTTTCTTATATTCTCCTCGTTATAATACTTTTTTTTTATAAAAGTTGAATGAATTTACCAATCACGTGCTTAATGATTCCATTCAGATACGACGAAAGGAGGATGGAACGAGTATTCTGAGGATTTCTTCAGCGATTCCTGAAGACAAGGGGAATTACGTGGTCAAAGCATCTAACGTGCATGGAGAGGCGAAAGCTTTCGCTCGGTTGGTTGTTAGATCATTGGGTGACTACAGACGGAAAGACGAATTCGTTCAGATGGAAGAGAAACTGATCGCTCCTACGTTTAAGGAAAAGTTTGCAGACAGGAGAGTGCCAGAAGGCGTTTCTACGAAATTCGAGTGCATTGCGACTGGGAAACCCGCTCCAAAAGTGAGTAGCATTTTATAATTACAGTTTTTAATATATACAAATGATCAGCGTTATTTTTTATGTAGTGTACGTATAATAATCAATATTATTATCGAACAATTTTATCTACATTATGATTTAATGAAATTATTTGCATATCTCAATGAGCAGTAATAATTATAAATAACTATATAAAGTCAATATAAAATAAAATATTATAAGAACATAACTAAACATAAACTAAATACAAAATAAATAGAACATCATCTTTCTTTGGTATATAATCACATTTATCCATCTAAATGACATCAAAATACATATGTACATATTTTCATGAACTTTGCCTTTCTTTCTCATTAAAATTTTTTTCCAGCATTGCTTGTTCATTGAGAGTGTTCTAATACTTCCCTAATAGAACACTCTCATCTCTAACCAGTCAAAATAAATCAATCCATAAAATCTTTAGAATATGCGAACGTAGCTGACGTTGCGAAATGATCGCCTCTAGTGATCGATGACAGGAAATCGCGTCTCCTCTCGAATGCCGGCGTCTGTCCACCGAACGCGTCGGGGAAACGCGTAAAAGATTGGGTGCAGAGTTGGCCAGCCTGTCAGGAGGCAGTCGAGCAAATGTAATTTCGTTGCCTCCGAGTTATATTTAAACGGGAACAATGTACCTGGTGTGGAAATCCGCGGATGCAGCCGCGCCGCGAGGTTCTCCGCGAAATTCTCAGTGACACCCGTCGCGAACCAGGTATCGATACGGTTGCCCCGTTCGTGAACCCTCATCCTTCCGATCAATTCTTTGTGTTGGTTTAATCGACAGTTCTTTGGTTGGAGCGATAATTATATGGCAAACTGTAATTTTAATTAACCACAGTTTTTCTAATATCAATTCTCTTATCTTCATATATTTTTATTCTATAATAATTTTATAATTGTCAGAATCAAAACTTAAATGTAATGAGGCAATTATATTTGAACAATAATGTATATTTTAATAATAGTGCGAATTTTTGTGCATTTATGAAAAACGTTGTACTGAATTTTGATTAGTGTATCCAGTGTGCAAAAGCATACAAAATATTAGATGCAAAGTGGATACTATGGCATTTAATTCATAAATGGAAAGCATAACTCATTCCTTAAGTCCGTGTTCCAAATACTTTATTTTATGTAAAAATCTACATTCTAAAAGTAATGTAATTGTCTCGTTACATTTAAGCATTGATTCTAGCAATTATAAAATTTTTGTAAAAAAAGTAAATAGAAAATCGAGACAAGAGAAACTATATTGTTCATTGATTTTCTTTTTAAGTATCATTGCTCTTTTTTTTTTAATTTTACAAATTATCTATTCCTGACTTACTCCATGATTTCTCTGATGTATTTGATTAAAGAGTGCGAAAATTAGAACACATTTTGTGGCCAAAATTTGTGTGGCACAGGTTGCTGTATACATATTTGTATTAGTCGTATAGTTGATACAATTTAGTGACATCAGAAGTTGTATGCAACATTCGAAACTGCGGGAACTGGTTTGTCTCTACGAGCACGCGGGACAGTTCGCGGAATTTTCCTTGTCATTCGTGGATCGAGTATCGCGCGAGTAGTTTGTATTTCAGAATTTTGTGATGCAACCAGTTATCTAGTCGTATGTACATAAAAGAAATTTCGCCTGCGAGTGACAAGTTCAACAAATTAATTATTGTTTCATCGAAAATAGTTCAATTTAAATTAATGACGCGTGAAGGGTTTGAAATCTTTAAATAATAAATTCTAAAATTATTAATTATGTTTTTTCGTGGATTAAAGTAAATTGAGTTCGTAAGTTGATGAATTAATTCGATGATTTTCAGGTTCAATGGCTATTTAACGACCGTCCCGTTCATGGCAAGGACTTCTTGGTGTCGGTCAGCGGGGATCGATTGGTGTTGACGATTCCAGAGACCGAAAGCACGCATGCCGGTATCATTTCCTGCGTGGCGGAGAACGCTGCTGGAAAGGCGATTTGCAGTGCTCGATTAGAAATTGGTGAGTTACGAGAAGATTTTTTTTTTACGAATTCCGTAAAAATATTGCAAAATTGCTAGTTTATGAGAACCATTGCTCTAATACAATACTGAAATATTTTAAATTAGCATTCTCCAAGTTGGTATTGTATACTAATTACCATGTTATCTGTTCGTTATAATGGTATTCAAACTAGTTCATCTTCTGACACCATACGCAGGTATATTCACATTTTCCAACACGTTTATCGTTCAACCCCAATACTTATCATAACGATTATACATATCTGTACAACTGGCAAGAAAATTTAGAAAACCTACGTCTTACCTTATTAGCTCACTTGACCAGAAGTTCACGTTGCCTAGAAACATTCACCTTGAATTCGTTTCAATTTTATCAGGACGCGTATACTGGATCGTAAAACGGGTAATTCTAGGCGATGTCGAACTGGCATTTTTTATTGCCAGACCGCGTTGCAACAAATTAGCCCGCGCGCTGCCAAAATATCCTCGAAACCGGCAACGGTGCCACGGAGTTATTAATAATACGCGTCCATCCAAGCCGAATGGCAAGCTTCATTCACCAGCTAACCGGTGCGCCGCGGCGCGATGCGATGCGCGCGTACAAATAAAACGCTGTCACCCGAAAACCGAGATGAGTGCTATTTAAGAATGGGAAAAAGACAGGAAATCATGGAAGCTGCGCTGCACTCTGAAATTCGACACCATTTATCTACTCTACAGTTCATCATAATATTTTACTGCAATTATTGTTCTATTGGCTAAATTCTCTTTGACTGAATCTGTACTCCTGTCTAACAATAAAACTACTAATACGAATTATAATTTTATACGTGATAAAGGGCAGTTACTCATTTTTTATTGGTTTAAAACTCATCGCTTTCGGACGAAACGGGTAAATATTGGCGAAAATATTCGGGAGTGGAGGAGATCTATTACCGAGGCGCGAGTGTAATGTAGAAGGGTGGGACCGTATTTTTAACCGGTGCGACTAAACAAACTCTTTTCTGTTCTTTCACCGTCGAAAAATCAGTTTGAATCACGACTAATATTAGGTCGGTGCACATGCCGCGGAAATTAAATCTGACGTTTCGACGCCCACCTGTGAGTGTCCATGCCGCTCTACGATCCGCCTAGAAACGTTCTAGAGCTTAGCTTCCGAGCAACTGCTCTTCTGATTCTTCAATCTGATTACTTATTCAAATAAAATCAGATCCACAATTATAAATCCAATGGCAAGCTCTTTTTTTTTTTAAATTAATGAAATAGTTTTATTGAATTTACAATACACGCATTAGAAAGACATTCATTATACGTGCACACGACACACATACATTCATGATACAAATTATAATATAAGAGTGTAAAATACGCAAAGGAATCAGGGGTACAATATAAAAAAATAATTCTTACGGGGGTGTTGGTGGGCAATGGGCGATGATCAGATTCAGATGTGGTTTCACCGTACGTCTGGGTTTGGTCGTCCCGTCTTGGTGCTACGTTCTTTCTCTTTTGAGGAGGCTACTGAATCTCTTTTCAACCATCTGGTTGTGGTTGATCGTGGTCCGCGGAGTTGCTGTCGTTGTCCTGATTTTCCTCCCGAATCAGGCCTGCTCTCCTCAAAAGAGTTTCCGCGCATTCGTTGCAGTGCAGCGCCGGCTTGCACGTGTACAGATTATTGGGGCAGTAGTCGCACTTCCAAACCCACGCGGCTGCCTGTATTCGATGCATGTAGCTCACTTCCTCCTCGTGCGGGATCGTCTTCGGACACTCTGGACAGATTTCAGCGTATTCTATTGCATAATAATGCTGTAATATTACGCAGTACATTTGATTGATCCGTGCCCAGGCGTTGTCTGTCCGCCGTCTAGGCCGCGGTACTCTTCCGTGGCACATTTTGGTCTGTGACAATTTTCTCCGGTGTCTGGCCTTTTAAAAGTTTACTTCCCCTTTTTTCTTCTTTTTATCGCTCAACCGTATTCACCCGCTCCCCTACAATCGTCTCGCCCCGTGACTTATCTATGCGAGGGGTGCGTACGTGACTATCTTCGAACGCTCTGGAATCGCATGGGCTGTATACTGTAACAGAAATAATAGCATGGTCGTTTACATGATTAGGTCAGATCATATCTTTCAACATTAAAAACTTAATGTTTGCAGCTTGAGATTCATTTTTGAAGTCTAAACAGCCAACGTACAGAATTAGTAGTAGCATAATCATCACACTATACGTTAGCTTTCAACTCCAAAAATAACGTCATTGTTATTCAGGCTGAATCAGCATTCCGCAAAATCCACAACTATGAAGCCTACGTTCTCTCTATGAACCATTTCCATTTTCCTCGTCTGAATTTAAGGCAGTTTATTATTCAATGCCATACAACCATAAATTGGAAAAGCGTGTTTGCTGATGATCGGTGCACCTTGTATCTTATCAATTAGACGGTGGTGAAGCGTCCCCGAAGACAGGTCAGTACCGCGATTTCCGTGTTCCCGTGGCCAGAACGGCTGGTCTCCCTCGCCCGTTCTCTCTTTCAGTCGCGGCACACACGCATAAAGCACGTTATTTTTGTCGGCACGAATACCCGGCACGTAGCCTAGTCCAGAGTCGCTAACCCAGGGAATTCGAGCGCGTCTTCTTCGGGGAGCCTCGCTCCTACCGTGTCGCGTCTCCGTCGATTTGAAACCACGAATTGTCGATTGACCTATAAATCCGACCTGAAAATCGAACCCAGGATCGACGATCTGGATCCCACATACGAGGTAATTCGAATTTTCAAGTATAGGATATTAATCACCTTTGAATGTCTTTAAAAGTATTAAGGAGATCTTGTTCGTATTAAGAAAAAGTGTTATAACGATAATTTTTGTATACAGAGGCTTTTAAAAATTGTGTTACTTCGTTAGAAAGTGATTTTATCAATCATGAATGAATTATTAACAGTGGAATAAATGCAAGTAGAAATAATTGGAAAATAGTCTTAATAAGAGATAAAAATTAATCTTACAAAACTTCTTTTAATTATTCTTTTATTTATTTAATTAATTAATATTTCATGGGTTTTATTGTCTACCTGAAATTTTCCTATAAGATTAAAAATGTTGTAAACTATTTGTTAATTAATGTTATTTGTGATATGCTAATTTAGATTTGTGAGAAGTGGATACCAACAGGTGCACGAAATTCCGTATTCGCCATAACAAATTGTGTCCCAGTGGTCGATTTTCCCGGTGCTAGGTGAACGATACTATTTCTGTCACCGATTGTGGGCAACGTGTTTTGTCAGCCGTTCAAAGGGCTCTCCGGTTCACCGAGAAACCACGAAACAAACCTTTAAACTTAACTTTTATTGCCTTTCGGCAAACCATAAACTTCCATGGTCGTGTAACCGATAGCTTATAAAGAAAAGAAGGAACTGGAGGTTTCTTACAAATGTTGATTGAGCAAACATCTGGACGGATGTATCGCAAATTCGCTAACGAAATCAGAACGAATCTTCGCGGTCCAGATATGACGGAATGAATTCGGTCTGAGTTGTATTTTGGTTCCCAGCCAATGTACGAAATTCTTTTCGTTGAAATGTATCACAGGGAAAAATGAGATTTTATGTGAATTATAAATCTTTCTACAAACAGTCAATTCCATTAATATTTGTATCCACAGTATTTCGACAACATACAAAAACCTGATCTTCATTCCTCTTTAATTTCTGTTCCAAATACCGGTGCTATTTTTAATTTTAGTGAAACAGAATTCTTAAAACCGTCTAGCTCATTCTGTTTACTCATCAATTAGGTACACCTTCTGTTCAAACAAGGAAAGGTGCGAAATTTCTTAAAGAATGGAGAAAGTCAAGTTTTCAAAGCGAGTCATTTTTAACTGTTATTGACAAATCTCGCACGCTCTACGTTTCCGGTACCCGCGGGTTCAAGCGAACGCGGAATCGGTCGCGGTAACCGATTGCGCCATCCGCACGGATTCCAATTCCGTTTCGGATTCGACGATCCGTTTCTAGCGTGCCGTTCGCCGATTAAACGGGCCAACTATTAATACATTCGTGATTCAAGGGAACATATCAACGCGTATCGACCATCAAATCCTCATGATTTCAGATAGACATGATGAATCACACCTGTAGATTTTCAATATGTAATTCTACAATCTCTACGAACTCTATGTTCAAGTATTATTCCTCAATCTCTGATTGCATTAAATACTTCAGTTTGAATTGTGGAATCAGTTATCAATTGCATATATCGTCCTCCATTTTTTATAATAATATTTCATAAGACACATTGCACGCATAGTTTCTTTGGGTGCCAAGGCAGAATTTAAGGTAACGAGAAAATATGAACGAAATTTATTGAAGCTGTCGTTTATGACATGTGTCTTGTATTTCATATTTATTTTGCAATTTATTTCTACAGGAGGAGTGCAACGGTCTTAGATTTCAAAGGATATTTATGATAATAGCGTAGTGAACTAATGCCAAAGATATTGCCTATGCATTCTGTAGCATATTTCATTCAAAAATGAGAAATGCTTTTCATATAATTAATAGTGCTCAAAATACCTGAGCATACATATACCCATTTATATGTTTGCACACTAAGAAGTTTTTCGTTGAATTCATTTACCAATTAAAGAGACAGCAAGCTATAAAAAAAGGCTGTCACCGCTAACAATATCCTAATTAATCATCGCAGGTGACTGGCCGGGGGAGAAGAGAGTCGAGGAGATCACAGAGAGGGTACTAGATCTAGTCGAAGTGTCACCGGTAGTCGAGATGCACGCGGCTAGCAGCAGCGACAAACACTTCACCTCGGAAAAGTCCGAGGGTGACGGTGAGACTAAAACGATGACGAAGTTGTCGGAGATCATCACTGAATCGTCCACCACGCATAAGACCACGAAGAAGGAATACATGTCGTCGGCGATGTCTTCGACGTCTCAAACGCCTGGACAGGAACCCAGCAGCGTGTGCGTGAAGACTGTTATTCACAGCACGGAACAGGCGTCTTCGCAGGACGGGACACCTCCTGTCGTCCAGGTTTGTTCATTTTTCGTTTAATTAAAAATTTGGCAGACAAAAATTAAGGATATGTAAAGG